CAGCACATTGCTGTGCAGGGGTCTGCTTGGCCTGGGCCCGTGCCTTCATCACTGGCCTATCTTGGACCTCTCTATCCCTCTCTCCACCCATGAGATGTGTTTCTCAGTGGGCTGTGCAGGGCTACTCCTGCACCTTGGCCCCAGACCATGTGGGTGAGAGCTGGGGCAGCTGTACCCTTGCCCCCAGGGTTGGCAAATGCTGAGTGGGCCAGATTTCAGCCCAGCCCCTCTACCTCGGTGCCCTGCCCTGCCAGGAGCCGGTCCATCTTTGCTGTTTCAAGGGACCTGGCATATATGGCATACTGTTCTTAATATGTTTGCTCACCTTCTTGGCACTATGTGTTTTAACCAAGGTCACCTCTCCGAGAAAGGTTGTTTCCCCAGGTAGAGATTTCCCCCAGAAGTTAGGGAGGGAATAAAACCTCTTAACTAAGTGCCAGGCGGGTAATTAATCACTAACTACGAACAATCATGCTTTTCTTTACTCCCTGGAATGGAGATAAGAAACGCCCTAACCTTTGGAATAGAGATTGATAGGATTAGAATCAACTGGAATAAATACAGATGCAACAAGACAACAGGACACAGAACTTAGGACACAGAACTTAGAAGACAGAACATAGAAGACAGAACCTAGAAGATAGAACCTACACAGAACCGAGAGCCAGAAGAACTTCGCTGGAGAGAACATGAGAACCTGGCGACCGAACCTGGCTGGAGAACCTAGCGAGAGAACATGGCCATAGAACCTGGCTGGCTGGAGATCCTAACCAGAACTTTGCTGGAGATCCTGACCAGAACTTGGCTAGAGGAACCTGGCTATGATGATCACCCGAACGCTGCCTCCGTGTCATTCCTTCTTCGCCGACTCCGTCCGCACCTATGGGGAACCCCTGGACCTGCTGGAGCTGGACCCCAGCACTGCCCTTAACTCAGGACCCCAGGGCACTCTTCCCTGACTCCAGTCTCCATTCCAGGCCACCCTATCCTGAGACTGGCTTTGGGGTAAAGGTGTAGTGGAGGCCTTCTTGGACCACCCCTGCTCTCCAGATGGGTCAGGCCTGCACCGCATTCTGCTCTCCCCTTAGCGGCAGTACTTGCACCTCTGCCGGCTGCTTTCAAACCTGCCTCCCCTGCCAATGGGGAGCCTGTGAGCACAGGGGTGCCTGTCTCACTGCCCCTCTGTACCCCTGCATGTAGCATGGCAGCTGACCCCAGGGAAAGACAGGGCCTTCCTTTCCAGAGGTTTCACAGCCCCCATTGTGGGCTGGGCAGCTGTATCAAATATACAGATAGACTCTGAGAAGAGGAGCCATTTCTCCACCCTCCCAGTGAGTGAGCACCGAGCAGTGGGGCCTCGCAGGCAGGTCTGGGAGCCAGTGAGCTGGTGCTGTAGCCCAAGATGTCGGGCCTTTTACACCATGAGAGGACTGGACCCTGGGTGTCTACTGGAGCAGTAGCCATGGTCCTGGGGCCACTCTGCCCGTGATGGTCCAGCCCCCAGGGTCCCCGGGATCCCCAGGAAGCACTCACGGCTCTTCTTGGCACCAGAAGTGGTTGACAGCAAAGGCGATTGCAACGAGGACCAGGAACACGGCCATGGCGATCAGGCCCTGCATCCAGGGCTGCAGGTTCCCCAGGCCTGGAGGAGGGGAGCGGGGGTGCTGCAGTGATCTGGCCACAGTGGGGCTGTGAGTACAGAGTAGTGGGGAGGGCCTTCCACCCCAAGGGCTGGGGCCTGTGCTAGAGGTCATCAGCCAGCTGCCAGGGCCAGAGGAGACCTTCTGGGTGGCAGGGGCGGGAAGGAGGACCTATCTGACACTCCACTGAGCTGAAGAAAATGGAGGTTTGGAGGAAGGAAGACAGGAGTTCAAAGGAGGAATGAGGAACTGAGGAGGGAACAGGCCTCAGAATACTGTGTCTGAGGTCCAGGCGGCCCAGAGCCCCCTTATCATGGGTTACCTGCAGGGCCCCATAGGGAGTGTCTGGGCCACAGGGACCAAAGGGCAGCCCCCTGGACAGCCAGCCTAGGCCTGCCACCCAGGGGTGGCAACCCTCCTCCCTGGCTCCCAGCAGGCTGGGCAGCCCAGCGCTGACAGACCGGGCTGGCATCTGGAAGATCCTGTTCTGTAGCAGGAGGGTTCCTAGTGCTGGGTGGGGCATGGGAATGAGAGACGGGCTTGCTGCTCAGCTATGGGTGCCCAGGTGCCCAGAGAGAGTGGGGGGTGGGACAAAACGCAAGACAGAGGGGCTCTCCTCTGGGTCTTCAGGGCCAGGAAGGAAGCTTCAAAACCTGACCCCTTTCAGCTCCTCCAGCTCCGTGCTCAGGGGGTGAGGCCCTGTCCATGCACATCTCTGCCTTCTGACCCTTAAGGGTTATGTTTAACCCTTGACACCACCTCTAACCCTCAAGGTTTCTCGGAAGTCTCTGTCCTCAGCGACTGGCAGCCCCAAGGGACTCTTAACTGCCTGGGCAGCACGGTGCCCCGTGAGCCTGAGGAGCTGGCCCCACAGAGGACATGCACGCATCAGCAGGGAGAGGTCTCAGGAGGGCCCAGAGGCTAGCAGGAGGCTTCAGAGGGGTCCTGCCTCCAGCCCAAAACACCAGCATCCTAGTGCCATCCTCTATTTTGAGGCTCCAGGCCGGGCATCAAAAAGCTCACTCTGACTCACTCTCACTCGAAAGTCCTTCCTTAAGTCTACCCTAAAGCTTCCTGCAGGAGTGAAGGCCCTGCCTCTTCTCAGCTCCCTCTGAGCCGGCAGGTACTGGGAACGAGGCAGGGTTTGGGAACTCTCTGGCCTATGGCCAGGTCAGATCTTGCTTCTCTCCTTGGGTAACAGAAGATTCACAGTATGGTTACCCTGAGTTTCATACTTGCCAAAAAGCAATGTTTTGGAGCCGTTGTTTCCCCTAGAAGCAATGGTTTAGACACATTGTTTCCTCAGGTTAGCGGTTGCTCAAAGATTAGGAGTTAGGGCTCAAGCCCTTGGGGGGGCCCTCCTTGCTTCCTCTGAACTCTACAGCCAACTCCCTCCAGACACACCATGTGGCTCTGAGCTGAGGCAGAGCAAGGGGCAGAGCCTGCGGTAGCAGAGAAGAGTCCAGACTTAGGCTGCAGGTGTAGCCTCACAGTGCAGGGCAGACACCACATCTTGGGGTGTGGCACCTCACTGGTGCCAAGCTCTTCCACGCCCCTGACACGGCAGCCACAGTGGGAGGTAGGCAGGGCGGCTTTATTGTCCTCATATTACGGATGAGAAAGCTGAGTCTCAGAGAGGGGTAGTGATTTGCTCAAGGCCACACAGCAAGACAGAGGCAGAGCTGAGCAAAGAACTCAGGTAGGTGGTGGGGGCCACACTGGAGCACTGTCCCCTACCAAGGCCAGGAAACTAAAATGAGGGCTTACGCCAAAGCCACGGGTGACAGCTCGGCCCCTCCCCTGGCACAAGTGGCTCAGCCCAAACCCTGCTCCCAGGACCGCCATCTCTA